TAATAGAAGAAAAAGTTGGCCCTAATTTCCATCATGTGGGGTTAGGCCCCTATTTCCTTAATGGGACATCTATAGCACAACAATTAAAACCAAGAATCAACAGGTGGGATGAATTCAAACTAAAAAGTTATTCTCATCAAGAGAAACAATATGTGAGGTGCATAGCCTACATCCTGGGAACAAATTTTTACCCTCCCACGTCAGATAGAGATCTAATCTCTAGGGTATACAATGATCTCAAAAAGCTAAACACCAATAAATAAATAAATAAATAAATAAATAACCCAATCAACAAATGGGACAAGGACCTGAACAGAACACTTCTAAGAAGATGATATACAATCCATTAAAAAATACACACAAAAAATGCTCATCATCTCTAGCAATCAGAAGAATGCAAATTAAAACTACTCTATGGTACCATTTCACTGCAGTAATAATCGCAGCCATTATGAAGTCAAACAATAACAAGTGCTGTTGAAGATGCAGGGGGGAAAAGGTACACTCATATATTGCTGGTGGGAGTACAGATTGGTACAGCCATTGTGGAAAGCAGTATGCAGATTCCTTTAAAAACTGGTAATGGAACAACCATTCTACCTTGTTATTGCTCTTCTCGGTCTATATCCAAAGGACATAAAAACAGCATACTCCAGGGACACAGCCACATCGATGTTTATAGCAGCACTATTCACAATAGCTAGACTGTGGAGCCAACCTAGATGCCCTTCAATGAATGAATGGATACAAAATAATGTGGCATATATATACAATGCAATATTACTCAGCACTAAAAAATAACAAGATCATGGTATTTGCAGGGAAATCGATGGCATTAGACCAGATTATGCTAAGTGAATTTAGCCAATCCCAGAAAGACAAATGCTGAATGTCTTCTCTGATATAAGGGGGGAGGACCCAAAATGGGGTAGGGAGGAAAAGCATGGGGGGAAGATTACCTCTAGATAAGAAAGAGAGATGGGAGGGAAAGGAAGGGAGAAGGGGAATGGTATGGAAGGTGGAAGGAGACTTTCATCATTATACAAAATACATGTATGAAGATGTAAGAAAAAAAGAATAGCATCACCTTAGATTGGGTAGAGAGAAGTGATGGGAGGGGAGGGGAGGGGATGCGGGGAAAGGAAGGATAGTAGAATA